TGAGAGATGGAAAGTAGTACTTTGATGGAGTTTCTGTTTGCTTATCCCACTAAAAGTGAGGTTGAATATCTTTTAATATGTTCAAGGGCCATTAAAAATTTTTTTTTCTATGAACTGTTTATGTCTTTTGCTCAAATTTCTATTGTCATCGGCTTTCTCTTTTTAGAAGTTATTTGTATAGTAAAGCTATTAGCCCTTTGTGATTTAAGTTGAAGATGTTATTCCCCAATTTGTTACTGTTTTTTTATTTCATTTGTAGTGGGCTTTTCTCTCTGTGTGTGTGTGTGTGTGAGAGCGAGAGAGAGAGAGAAAGAGAGAGAGAGTTTGGACATCTAAAAGGTCTTCTTTTATTTCTATGTAGTCAAGTTTATCAGTCTTTTCTTTTATTGCTTCTAGACTTTTGGATCATGGGAAGAGTTCCCCTAATCCTCAGTTGTAAAGGTGTTCACCCATGTTTTCTTCCAGTACTTGTATGTTTCATTTTACATTTAGATTTCCGATCCACTTGAAATTTATCTTGGTGAACAGTGTGAGATACAGACCCAATGTTATATTTTTCCAAATGGCTATCCAGTTTTCTCAACTCTTTATTAAAAAACTCAATCCTGGGAATTCCCTGGCAGTCCAGTGTTTAGGACTCCGCGCTTCTACCGCCAGGGGCTCAGGTTCCATCCCTGGTCAGCCCGCATCCCACTGGCTTTGCAGTGAGGCCAAAACGAAAACAAAAAAACCTCAATCCCACCCCGCCCCCACTGAATTCCTCACCTCTATCACAAATTAATAATTTCAACTGTACATGTTTCTATTTCTGGACTTTCTATTCTATTTTACTGGTCTGTATGTTTACCCATGCACCAATAGCACACTTTCTAAATTATAGAGACTTTATAATATGTTTTAATATTAGGTGTGGCTAGCTTCCCACCCCACAAGACACTAAAAGATTTTCAGGGTTTTCCTGGATACTCTTGTTTGTTTGGATATTTTCCATATGAAAGTTATAATCAATTTGTTTAATTCTAGAAAGGCAACCTGTGTTTTTTGTTTGTTTTGGATCAAGTTAAATTTATAAATTAGGAAGAACTGACATCATTGGGATGTTGACTCTTCCTTTCCAACATTATGATGTTGACTTGTTATTTTATTTATGTTGACTTTTGTCTCTTTCAATAATGGTTTAAAATTTTCTTCATATATATTTCGTTAAGTTATTGCCTAAGTATTTTATCTTTATTTTTATTTTAAATAGTCTTCTGTCCTCTTACATCTTCTACCTGATTATTATTTGAATATGGAAAGGTTACTATATTTCTTTCTGTTAAGTTTATAACTTGTTACTTTACTAGATTTTCTTATTATTTACAGTAGTTTCTCGATTGATTCTCTCCGATTTTTCAACATACAATGATATAATCTGCTAAAAGAAGTGTTTTTATCTTATCCTTTTAAATTAGTGTTCCCATACCATGTTAAGTGGTAGTGGTAGTCTTGTCTCATTCTTGACTAGCAAGAATGACTCTAATGTTCCCTCATGTAAAAAACATGCGGGGGACTTCCCTGGTGGTCCAGTGGGTAAGACTTTGTGCTCCCAATACAGGGGGCCCAGGTTCGATCCCTAGTCAGGGGACTAGATTCTGCATGCATGCCACAACTAAGAGTCCACATGCTGCAACTAAGGAGTCCGCATGCCGCAACTAAAAGATCCCACATGATGCAACAAAGATCCTGCGTGCCACAACTAAGACCTGGCAAAGCCAAAATAAATAAATAATAAGTAAATAAAATAAAAATAAAAAACATGCTGGATTTTGCATACACATACACAGACATCTTTTAATCATATTAAGGGAATATCCATTGATTCCTACTTCATTGAAAATTTAAATCAAAAATGGATATAAATTATGACAAATGCTTTATTGGCAACTGTGGAGATTAGCGTATGATATTTCTTCTTAGAAATATTATTTAATATAATAAGTTACATTAATAGATTTCCTAATATTGAACAATCCTTTCGTTGTGTTTTTTTTTTTTTTTTTTTTTTTTTTTTTGCGGTACGCGGGCCTCTCACTGTTGTGGCCTCTCCCGTTGTGGAGCACAGGCTCTGGACGCGCAGGCTCAGCGGCCATGGCTCACGGGCCTAGCCGCTCCGCGGCATGTGGGATCTTCCCGGACCCGGGCACGAACTTGTGTCCCCTGCATCCGCAGGCAGACTCTCAACCACTGCGCCACCAGGGAAGCCCAATCCTTTCGTTTTTGTAGTGAACATCACTTGGTCATAATGTATACTTTTTAAAATATGTTTTTGGATTCTATTCTATTTTCTATCTTATTTAAGATTTTTGCACCAATATTCACAAGTGAGATTGTTCTGTAGTTTTCTTGTGTGTATGTGTGCAATCTTTATCATTTTTTTTTTTTTTTGCTAAGCTCATCTCATAAAATGTTTTTGTAAGTTTTCTTCTTTTTCTATGACCCAGAATGCTTAAGTAGAATTAAGATTATATTTAGGAAAGCTATGCAATGGTTTGAGTTGTGGGCTGAACTAATCACTTTTTAATGAAACACCTTTTTAACCTGAAAGAACAAGTAACAAACAAACTATACTTATTCAGATTTGGGTATTTGGTAGACATTTTCTCAAAAATACACAAAATGAGCTTGTCACTTCAAGGAAAACAAGTGACTTAGTATTTATTGACAATGACAAAACTCAAATTTTCAGATGAAAATTAGAATTTTGGGAAACTTGTATCTGCAACTGTGAACCTGACAAGTTCCCAATACTCAAAGACTTTTCTGGTGAGATAGGTGTTGATACAAATAAAAGTGATTTTTAAATATTGTATAATGGAGTGTGTCAGTATTTAATATTGTATCATGAAATGTGTCAATGTGTTTAACTCAGTGAACCAATATTTTCCAAATGACCAATTTGGTCTAATGCCAAATGTTACACATTCATTGATATGGTGTCAGATCCCACGTTGCAGCTAGCTTTTAACAAACTCCCACTTCTTGAATTTTGGTTTAGTATCAAAGAAAAATGTTCACAAGTATCTAAATAAGCTATTAAAATACTACTCCCTGGGGCTTCCCTGGTGGCGCGGTGGTTGGGAGTCTGCCTGCCAATGCGGGGGATGCGGGTTCGGGCCCTGGTCTGGGAGGATCCCACGTGCCGCGGAGCGGCTGGGCCCGTGAGCCACGATTACTGAGCCTGCGCGTCTGGAGCCTGTGCTCCTCAACAAGAGAGGCCACGATAGTGAGAGGCCCGCGCACCGCGATGAAGAGTGGCCCCCGCTTGCCGCAACTGGAGGGGGGCCTCGCGCAGAGGCGGAGACCCAGCACAGCCATAAATAAATAAATTAATTAATAAAAAAAAAATGTCAGGTGCTGTGCTATTTAAAAAAAAAATAAAAAAAAAATAAAAAAAAAATACTACTCCCTTTTCCAGCTATGTATTTGAGTGAGTCCAGATCTTCACACACTTCAACCAAAACAGTACACTGTAACAGAGTGATTGCAGATGTGTGAATCCGGCTGCTTTCTATTAGGTCAGATAGTAAGAAATGATAAAGCTGTAAAACAAAAACAATACCCCTCTTCTCACTAAATTGTATTTATTTGGGAAAATATAGTTATTTCCCATAGGTTATGTTAACATTTAATGGGTTTATTTTTATTGTTGTTTTCAAATGAATAAAAAATATTAAAAATTTTTTCAATCTTAATTGCTAATATGGTGAACATTGATAGATATAATACAATCCACAGAAACCAAAGCTCTGTAGGGAAGGGTGTCTTCAATACTTTTTTTTTTGGCTGTGTCACACAGCATCCAGGGATAGGGGATCTTATTTCCCTGACCAGGGATGGAACCTGTGTGCCGGCCATGGAAGCACACAGTCCTAACCGCTGGACTGCCAGGGAATTCAATACTTCAATACTTTTTAAAAGGTAAAGGAGTTCTGAGACCAAGACGCTTGAGAACCATTACTTAGCAGCTTCCTCAGGAAAAGCTCATGTTCAGATTTTTTTGTCAGCAGGCTTTACACCTGAACACAGCATAAGGGGATATAAAATTCTTGGATCATATTTTCTTTTTGAGAATCTTGAAAATGCAGTTTCATTGTTTCTAGCATAAAATGATGCTGTAAAGAAGTCTGACGCCAGTCGAATTTCCTTTTCCTTATAAATGACTAGGACTTTTTGTCTGGATGCTCAAAGGGGTTTTTCCTTATCTTTAAAGACTAATAGTTTTACTAGAAAGTGTTTTGGTTTAAACTGTTCTGGGTCAGTTTTATCCTATACACTGTAGGCCTTTGCGATATGTAGACTTAAGTCTTATTTCAGGAAAATTTTCTCAAAATTTTGTTTTAAATATTTGTTCTGATACATTGCTCTGGTTTTCCTTGTGGGGATAAATGTGTGTGCTTGTTCTCTATATCTATCACTTTCTCTTGAAAACTTTTATCTTCCTTTTTAGAAAAACCATTCTCCTTTCAGCCCTTAAATGTGCTTTTTTTATTTCTGAAAAAAGTTAAAAAAATTTTTTCCTGAGACTGGTTAGTTCTCATTTAATATGCGACTGTTCTCTACCCGTATCACTTTTTAGCTTTTCTATTTCTGATTTATGCTTTTCTTTCAAATCATCTATTATTTTATTTCCCTTAAAAATATTAGGTTAAAAAAAGAGAGAAGAAAAAATACTAAGTTAAAGTTTTCATCTGCTTTGTGACCACATGTTTCTAGTGTGTTACTGTCTGCTTGAACATTATTAGGTTTATTTTCACCTTGTTTCCATAGCATGTATGGGATTAGATCATATTTCTTATTTGTTCCCAATCTTAAATGAGGTAGATTTTCCCGGACTATTAAGAAAACGCACTCTTGCCTCTCGGCCCCGCCCACGCCTCGCGCATGCTCTGGACCCGCCCACTCCTGGGCCCCGCCCACGCCTCTCACACAGCGTCGCGGGCCACGCCCAGCCTCTTGCCTCTCGACGGTGCCAGGCTTGCTGTATATTTTCCCGCCATTTCCAGCTTTTCTTGAGAACTGATTGATTTCGGTGAGATCCGAGGCCTTTTGGGATCACTGCGGCCAAACAGGTAGGGCATGTAGTTAAAAAAGAGCTACTGCGGGCTTCCCTGGTGCCGCAGTGGTTGACAGTCCGCCTGCCGATGCAGGGGACATCCCTGGTCCGGGAAGATCCCACATGCCGCGGAGCGGCTGGGCCCGTGAGCCATGGCCGCTGAGCCTGCGCGTCTGGAGCCTGTGCTCCGCAACGGGAGAGGCCACAACAGTGAGAGGCCCGCGTACCGCAAAAAAAAAAAAAAAAAGAGTTACTGGTAAATCTGAGACTCTGCTTAATCTCCATCACCCCTAGAAATCAGACGAGTCTTGCCCTCACAAATCCTGTTAACGGCCCTTCTTCTAAAGGGTTCATTTGGTCAACGCATTTGATTAAAATCGTTCTTGCTTCCCCTAAACAAACCAGGGCATATATTACTGTGACCTTTTCAGTAGTTCTTTAGACTCACTTTCTGGTAGAAGTTAGTGTATCTGTGAGCAACAAATAGGTATCTGAAGCTCATGCCTCTGTGTAATGTCTTTGCATTGAAACATTTATTCAGTAAGTTTTTATCGTGAATCTTGCCCTTATGTGACAAAAATATTACAGTGTTGCACAAACCAGCCAATATTCTTTGAGCTAATGTCTCCATAAACTACTTTAAAACTTTTTTAAAGAAAAGACTTAAAAAAAAGAAGACTTCAGTGGGGAAAAATTTTACCTTCTGTTTTGATTTTTTCCCCCAATTTAATTTTAAATGAAATTAAACTAATATATATTACATTCTTGTAGTATAGTCATGAAATTAAGCGTAAATCTATTAAATGTGTGAACTAATTACAGCTCTATGTATCAGCTCTGTATTTTTTTTTTTTTTTTTTTTTT